GCAAGCTGTGAGTTATGGCAGCTGGTTGCTGCAGTGCTGCGCCATGGCGGCGCAAGGGAACGGCAAAGAAGGGAGGTAGAAGGAAAGCTAGCCCTAGGATACCTTACAGTATTGGGCTAGTTGGGCTGAAATGGCCCAAGTGGCTGTTCTGCGGGATGTATTTCCCTTCTGACACGAGCCGTCCGGTTCGCCAAAACCGTTCCGGTTCACCGGTTTTCCTAAAAACCGACCGGTTCATCCAGTTTTCTCCGGTCCAATTACATGGACGGTCTTTAAAGCAAACCGATCCAAGAAGGTACACAGAAAAACCAACCCCTGGCCCCTTCCCCGGACACCCCCCTCCAAGAAGGTTAGTGGGCGAACGTTCGCCCACTATGTATGTCACGAATTGGTCGGAGCGAGGAGGATGAAAGACGCACGATGTACGGAGAAGGGGGAACTGGGGGAGCGGTATTGATCTTTCCTTTCCAATTTTCAGTTATCCTCTTCTTAAGTGGTCTTTTTTCTTTTTCTTTTTTTTTTCACTACCGTTTTTCTTTTTCAGATTTCTATTTTTGTTAATTATTTTCATTGTTTCTTTAACAAAAACATTTTTATATGAATTATTTCATGAAAACTTTCTACATATACATATAGATTTTATGTATGTAAAGTTTCTATATGTAGACTTTATGTATGTAAAGTTTCTATATGTAGACTTTATATATGTAGAGTTTATGTATGATGAGGACACAACTAGCTGGGATATAGCCATGACTATCTTATATATTAATCAACCAAAGGTGTATATGTTCTATATTAGATAGTCATGGTTATATCCGAGCTAGTTGTGCCCGAATCCGAATCCAAAACGTGTAGAACTTTATCTCTTGTCTTCTATGGACCAAAAGTGACGTGGTGAGAATGTGAGATGAAAGAAGACTTGGAGAATGTCTTGGTTTGGTCCCTAATCAACTTCTTCAATCATCCATGTATGCTTTACGCTCGGTCTATTTTCCTTCACCCAAGCAAGTACCCCTGTAAACGAAAACACATGAAACTCATTGTGTAACAACGTTTGTTCAAATATATAATAAGTAAATCTAATATAAAACATATGCAACTTTTGTTGATTAGTATATAAGGTAGTTATAGTTATATCCGAGCTAGTTATGTCCTCATTAATGTATATAAACTTTATATATAATTTATATCTCTGTAATTAGAAAGTTTAGTGTATCAATTTTAACAGAAATAGAAAAATGCTGATCATCACCGGATATATATATATTTTTTAAAAAAGTCCAATCCAAACAAACGTTGCAACAAGAAAACATAAAGCATGCGTATGCTTGTATTTTAACTGATGAAACAAACCACCGGCTCATTAGTCATTACTAATTATGATTAAGCACGTAATTATGCATGTAATTAGCAATGAGGAAGAAGAGATGAAACGGCAGTCGGAACATTCGTGAGATTCTTACCTCGCGAACGTTCTACCGGCCTTGATCTTGACCAACTGCCCGTCACACTACCTGACTACCACCACCACCTCATCGCCTCCGCTTTGTCGAAAAGCACAAAACTGCCGCAATCTTTATTCACGGAACCAAACAAACAACGGACGGACGGCTCGGCCACCCGCGACGCGCCCGTACCACCTAACCTCAACTCCTCGTTTAATCGCTTTAGATCCAAACGCGCACGCACACACGCACCGTTTTTTAGTAGAGTATTTTTTTTGGACGTCTTGGCTTGACGATGGAGCAGCTCACCGGTTAGCAGAAGAAGCAGCGTACGTGACAGCTGAGACAGAAACCCGTTATTCTATTGCTATTTCTATCAACTACTATAACGGCACCTCCGGATCCGTCCGGTGTGTGACGTCGGCAGCGACGCCCGCGACGGCCCTCGTGCCCCGTGCGGGCTCTGGGAGCATTTGACAAATATCCTATTGCACGAGTGCGATCGATCGATCGATCAGCAGCAGAAGTAGGAGTAGTAGTAGCGTGGCAAATGGCATGACAGGCTGACAGCGCGATGGGAATCCAGCGTCACATGCGGGGAGGCGGGGGCAAAGATCTCGTCGTCGGCGTGGAGCGAGCGCCTCGGTTGAGCTAAACAAAGCGTCCCAGGAAGCTGCGAGGAAGCTGCCCGCCGCGTGCGCCAACCGCTCGATCGAAGCCAGCGCGCCAGGGTCTCGTGTTTTTTTAACGAGTAGTACTAGTGTGGGTGTGTGTTGGGGTTGGGTGGTTGGCAACGGCAGTTCGCAGTAGCGGCTCGTGTCGGTGGGACGGGGGGCCGTTCAATGCCGAGCCAGGCTGGCCTCGTCTCGGGAGCCGCGCGCCCACGCCCGCCCCCCTGACCGGTCGACGACTCCACTGCGCACTCATTCACCACGTCCGTCCTTCCCCCCAACTCTCCCTGGCCCCACAGAGTCAGCACCCAGTTGCTCCCTACCCTGCTCCCTGAGATTGCGATAGTGGTAGCAGTAGATTGAGTCATGTTAGTATTTTTTATATTCATATTGATGTTAACAACAATATGAATATGAAAAATGCTAGAATGACTTACATTGTGAAACGGAGGGAGTACAAAGTAAAAAGTTCTACCACTAGTGGTGGGTGTATAATTTTATTTTAGGAGGAATTGGAGTATAAAGGGGTGTTTTGGAATATGGATTAAACTTCAGTCCTTATCAAATCAGATGTTTAAACACTAATTTAGAGTATTAAATATAGACTACTTACAAAACTAATTATATAAATGAGAGCTAATTCACGAGTCAAATTTTTTAAGCCTAATTAATCTATAATTAGCACATGTTTACTTAGCATCACATAGGCTAATCATGGATTAATTAGGCTCAATAGATTCGTTCCGTGAATTAATCCAGAGTTATGAAATATGTTCTATCAATAGTCTACGTTTAATACTTTTAATTAATGTTCAAACACTCTACCGTGACAAGGACTAAAATTTTTTTTATCCCCAATATTGTTACTTGTACCAATTTTTTATCATTATTTTCTCCGTGGAATACCCAAAATAAAAGTTGCATTTTACGATAATATGTACCAATATTCTCTCCGCAAATCAAAATTAGTGTTTATGATAATTTACTAATTGAAAGGTAGAAGGGGAATGACTACAAAACATATCCGTTGAGCAGAGATGAAAGTTGATCTCGGTGATCAAATGATGCTGAGCGAAAGGCCCATCGCTCAACACATAAAATTACTCGAGGATGAACTTTAGGCTACGTATTCTTTAATTAGAACCACGCCTTTGATACGGGAAGATATTGCTTTCAGATAACTCACTCCGTCTCTAAAAACCAGCTTATGTTCATACGCAGATTCGTAGCTAGACATCGATTTATATAGGGCGGAGGGATACCTAGGCTAAGTTCTTTTGAAAAATAGATTAATATAATTTTTTAGGTAAAAATATACACCATTTAGTAATTTAGAAAATATGAGCGTGAAAAATGAGAGACGTGATGTTGGGAAGAGCATGGGCGCCCTAGTACAGCTAGTTGGCGTTAGTGCAACGTGACATTGCTTTCATTTACAGCTCCGGCCGTCCTGCGCCTGTGAAGCTGGGATGGGCCGCCCGCCGCGGTGTAACAGGGCGGCACGGGGAAAACGGTACGTACTACTACTAGCAGCGGATTAGATTAGACCAGCGGGCGAACGAGCGAGCGAGCCCGTACGTACCCGCGCGCGTACGACCGCGTACGTGGCGTGCGCGGGCACGTCCGTCCGCACGCAGGCACAGCTCACACAGCTGTGCCCCCCTCTCGCACCCGTCGTCTCACGGGGGTGGCCCCCACCCATAACTGCTTCCCACGAAACCGCGCCGCTGCAACCGCGCATGCGCTCCAGCCTGGCCGTGGACCGCCCCACCCGTCCTTATCCCCTCCCCGCACAGCGCCCTAACCGCCTCCCGGCCCCACCCGTCAGTGGCACGGGTATCGCCTCTCCCCGGTGACCCCTGATGCTGCCAGGAGAGGGACAGGTTCATCTCCATCCCCAGATCTCGCAACCCCGCGCGGGGAAGGGGGTACGTACCCGGCCGGTACACCTGTACGGCTGCGGCGTTGGGCCCCCCGGATCGGGATCGGACGGTTGGGGTTAACTGCAGGATGGGGATGGGCAGGGGAGGTGCAGTTCAGTGCACCGCGCGCGCGGGAGCCGCCACGACGACGACGACGATGGGGGAGTGGATCGTGCCGGTCTCGTCGTCTGATCGGTTCGTTCGTGGGACGGGATAAGCACAGCGCATCGGTGGTCGTACTCGTCCGCACAACACGCCACCTCACACCTCGTGTCGGTTTGTTACGCACGAGCACGAGTACGAGTACTACTCCACTCCACTGCCGTTGCTTTCCTCACGGTGGTTTCGAGTCCACTCCACTTCCTCTCTCTCCCTCTTCTTTTTTTTTTGTCGTGGTATCGAGGTCGCTCGGTTGTACAAGACGACAAGTTAGCAACGAACCTGATAGACGTGTGAATCAATCCTGTCCGGGTTTTTTTTTCTCTCAGCTGAAAAAAAACTAAACTCACGTAAAAATGGTCGATTCGAATTTTGAACTGACACCGTTAGGTTTACCCAAATTACCGGAATTGGGACCGATTCACTTCCGCGGGAAAAGGGTGACAAGTGCTCATAAATCCGTTGGCCGTTTCGGCGCCCCCCCTCTCATCACTGATCTTTCTCAACGGCAACTGCCGTTTCCCACTTTCCCACGTACGAAAACAGAAGTCACGGTTCAAATTTCGAATCCAGCGAGGCAGAAACCGCCCCCACCTAAAACCACGGGGCTCGGGTCTACACGATCGCTGACAGGTGGGTCCCGGTCGTAGCAGGGCCCACATGTCAATGACGAGGAAGAAAACGACAACGGCCCCGGGTAGGAGGCGGTGCCGGGGGGACGCGACGTGTGCAGCGGGTGCCAGCTGTATTGCCGGTCAGAGTCACCGGTCGACGCGCCGCTATAAATACCGTCCTCCTCCACATCACTATTTCTCCAACCCCCATCGCCACCACCACCACCACCACTCGCGAACTAGACAGAAACCGCAAGAAACCAAACACCTTTTGGCTCCTCCACTAGTAGCAACTACTCGTTGTCGTCGTCGTCGTCGACTCGTCGTGGTAGTAGTAGTCTTCTTCGCGTGACGCCATGGGAGGAGGAGGAGGAGTTGAGGCGGATTGCGACAGGATCAGGGGGCCGTGGAGCCCCGAGGAGGACGAGGCGCTGCGGCGGCTGGTGGAGCGGCACGGCGCGAGGAACTGGACGGCGATCGGGCGGGAGATCCCCGGGAGGTCGGGGAAGTCGTGCCGGCTGCGGTGGTGCAACCAGCTCTCGCCGCAGGTGGAGCGGCGGCCGTTCACCGCCGAGGAGGACGCCACCATCCTCCGCGCACACGCGCGGCTCGGGAACAGGTGGGCCGCCATCGCGCGCCTCCTCCAGGGCCGCACCGACAACGCCGTGAAGAACCACTGGAACTGCTCCCTCAAGCGCAAGCTCGCCGTCGCCACCACCACCACCACCACCACCACCGGCGCCGCCGCCGCGCCGGGAGTGGTCGCCGATGCCGCCGAGCTCGTCGAGCGGCCGTGCAAGCGGTTCAGCCCCACGCCGGACAGCCCGTCGGGGTCTGGTTCCGGGTCGGACCGCAGCGACCTCAGCCACGGCGGCGGGTTCGGGCAGATTTTCCGGCCGGTGGCGAGGACCGGCGCGTTCGAGCCCGTCGACTGCGCCATCAGCCGGCGGCAGGAGGAGGATCCCTTCACCTCGCTCTCCCTCTCGCTCCCTGGGACGGATCAGCGGTTCAACCACGACAGCGCCCACAGCCACTTCCAAGAACTCCCGTCCTCCCCCTCGCCGCCACCACCACCTCCCCCCGCCGCCGCCGCCTCGACGACACAGTACCCGTTCACCCCGGAGTTCGCCGCCGCGATGCAGGAGATGATCCGCGCCGAGGTGCACAAGTACATGGCGAGCGTCGGCGTCCGCGCCGGGTGCGGCGACGCCGGCGGTGCCGACCTCCACATGCCGCAGCTGGTGGAGGGCGTCATGCGCGCCGCCGCGGAGCGCGTCGGGAGGATGCACTGATCAAAAACCTAGCGTCCATTAGAATCTCTACTATCGTTTCAACTTTTTTTTTCCTTAAAAATTTGTTTCCAAAACTGCTGTGAAAACCGAAACAGCAGTCCGAAACGGAAGAACCAAAAAAAAATGCGAGGAGAGATGGGAAAGAAATGTTTCGAGCTACGAAAAAAAACCGAAAAGCTCGGCTACCTATGTACAGGAAATGGAAATGGAAATGCAAATGGGGGAAGTGAGTGGTGAATCATGCAAAAAAAAAAAAATCAGAATTCACCATTTTTGCTACAACTACTAGTGCTAGCTACCGTCTGATCTGGCTCTGAATGAAATGAGTGAATGTCACCGATCTGCTGGATCTGTGCTGACAGCTTGCAGTTACTAGTACCACCAGCCACATTTGAGTCTAAAAAAACAAACCCTGATTCTCGTGTTCAACGTTTAACTGTCCGTCTTATATAAAATTTTTTTATAATTAATATTTTTATTATTGTTAGATGATAAAACAAGATTAATAGTTTATGCGTGACTTGTCTTTTTAATTTTTTTATATTTTTTTTAAATAAGACGAAAAGTTAAATATTGACCACGAAAATTTAGGATTTGTTTTTTTTTTAAGGACGGAGGAAGTATTTGACACGAGCGGGGGAAACCGAAAGCGATCGGTGCGATGGAGATCCATCTCTCCCTGAAATGGAGAGGCAACGGCTCGTAAATGCACGTCGGTCCAGCTGATCAGCCGCTTCGCTCGTTTCGTCGTCGTCGGGGAGAGCCGGAAAACGGCCAGCCAAACTTTCTTCTTTCGCTCGCCCACCGCGTCTACCCGTCGTCGATCGCGACCGGTTTGGTTGCGAGTAGCCGTCCTGTAGCGTGCGTGATATGTACTGTACCTCCTGACACGATCGAGCGATCGCTTTCGCTATCAACGGTGGAGGGGAAGAGGGGGGATTCGGGCAAAAGTTGGAAGCGGGCAGTGGTTGCTTTCGCACGAAGGGCCCAGGCCCAGTGGGAAACGCGGTCCGGTTCGTTGCTCCTTGGAACGGGAAAAGTGTGGATCAGTGGATGGATGCATGTCGGCGACGGTGAAATCGATCGAGCGATCGGTTGCTTTTGCTTGTGGCTCGATGGAGTATATGTATGGAAGGTGGCACGTCGTATCGTACCAGCCGGTGTAGCGAGATCTACCGCACGGGATTTGCGTTCGGTTCGGTCGAGAAAGGCGGAGTTTGGCAACGCAATTCCAGGCGTGAGAACTCAGAAGGAATGTGCGTTTGTGTGGTGGCGCGTGTACGTCCTTGTGCGGGGTTTTTTGATGCTACCGTTATCGTGGTCAGTTTGGGCTCAATCCTGGTGGAGTCTTTTTATACTTTTCTATTGGGCCATGTGGTTGATGCTTACTAGGTTTGCACTTTGGACTTTCACATTGGATGCTTAGTTTGCTTAATAGACCTCGATCCATGCGCGCATGATGACTGGGGCACAAAGCCCCCTATGTGCTGCCAGCCCGGCCCATATAGTTAGTTTCCCTTCATCATCCTCATGGATCGAAGTAGTAGGAAATCGAGGCAGATAGGACCCCATCCGAATAACCCAAACGGCATATTTGCAAACCAAATATAATTTGTGAAATTGCTAATTAACTGTCCACAGTTTTCAGCGCCGAAAACTTTCGGTTTTTTTGCCCGTTTGATCCGGCTCCAAGATTCGTGCTGGCGGTGCAGGAAGATGGAAAAAAAATTACAAGCCCAGTTCGTGCTAGCGGTGCAGGAAGATGGAAAAATTTAGCAAGCGCACCATGGGGATCGAACCCAAAAACCACAGCATACACATTTGCTCCATTAACCAGTTGCTCCATTGCACTTTTGTGGAAGTTACACCCGATCGAGTTACAGACTTGGTATATTGCAGTTACATAGCAGTTACATAATAATTACAATGTAATTACACTATAGTTACATAATAGTTACATTTGAAAGTTTTTCATCCAAAAAACTGTCGAGTGTTGTATAGCTACTCCCAATTTTTATATATGTGTTCTTAATAATCTAAAAGCAAAGTCTGAAAAATAAACTTCGATGATAAAACCCCAAAATCAACTACAAATATAAAGCTGAAAAATTTAAATTTTGGCTGATAAGCATAAGCATAGTATGACCGAGATTTCACCAAGAAGAAATTGCCTTTGACTGTCCATCAGTTTCTTGCATACATGGTCATCGCAAGAGCAAAAAGTGTGCCAAAGCTGCTGGCGTTTTCTATGTTTCTTTAAAATACTCCAGTGGTGATGGTGAATGGTGAGTTTGTCATCACTCATCACCACTATCATGTGGGATCTTTTAATAGCGAGTAGGTGAACCGTTATATAAACAGATGTACAAATACATATTTGAAAGCAATTACGTATGCTTGACATACATGAAAAAATGATGTGAAATGTTGATTACAATGAAAATATTATTATTATGATTTTCGGAGCTTTAGAACGTAAGGTGGGGTTCTCTTTTTTATTCCGATGCAAAGCACCGGCATTCAACTATTTATAAATAAAAAAGGAATAAAAGTTCGAGGGACTTGATGTAGTGAATATTCCTAGGGTGTGCATTCTACTTTGAAAATTTTAACCTGTGATGTATTGAAACGGTAACTAATACCTATCGGTTTTTACTAAGAGCAAACAAAACCTTGAACGTTATTTTGAAAGCAGCGCTAAAGCGATTGGTTACAAAAGTATAAAACTAATGGTCAATAGATGTACAGGAGACCTTGCAGATTTGTCTAAGCCCTGTTTGAAGAACCTCCAAATTCTAATAAGCAGTTAGCGAGTAGTCAGCAAAACAGCACGAAAGTATTTAGAAAAGTTGGGTTTCTTATCTTGTGTAATATATTTCATTTTCTGAAGTTTATTTCATGAAGCTGAATATTGATTTTGAAATAAACTATAGTGGTCAGAAACTCTCTCAACCAGAATGGAGACAAAAGGATCATGTTGAACAGTAGAAGTAACAATTACCGCCACTGTTTGTAAGCATATGTTCTATTTGCACATAGTACATCTCACATGTGCTTATCTATTCATTCCTGTGAAAAAAAAAGACATACTATGGCTATACATGTACATGTTCACTACGTCATCATATAACCTAGTAGGAGTATAACCCAAATACACATCACAAAAGAACAAATGTAATAGTACAGAGCAAAGGGGCATGAAAAACAGAGTTTGTGCTTAGTTCCTGAAATTGGGAAGAAGTTTAGAAAAAAATGGTAGGTTAGAAAAAAAGTTAAAAGTTTATGTGTGTAGGAAAGTTTTAGGTATGATGTGATGTGATGGAAAATTGAAAGTCTGAGAAAAGTTTGGTGTGAACTAAAACAGGACCAGAGGCTTTTTCCTCAATTCAGCCGTGCACGCATGCTCCATCGCTGACGGATCCCAAAACCCCTGCCACCGCCGGCGTCTAGTGCCCGGCGCCGGGGCTCGGGCCGGAGTCCTTGATCCCGCCGAGCATGTCGAGGCTGACGGACTTGAGCCACTGCAGGCCACCGTCGCCGGCGCCCTCCGTGCTCCCGTCCATCGCCTCCAAATCGACCGCCGGCGACTCCACCACCGCGTCCCCGTCTCTCTCCATCCGCTTAAGCATCCTCGCGTCGGCCACCTTCGTCGTCGTCGCGAGGACGAGACACGCGACAACAACGAGTGTAAAGACGATCACCCTCTGCCTGAGCTGCTCTGCCATTTTGTGCTGCTACTGAGCCCTGCACGGACGGTGTCGATGTAAGTTGGCTGCTGATCAGGGTGTTGGGTTTGAGGGGGGTTTATGTAGGGGAGGAGGAGGTGAACGTCAGTCTCCGTTTTACCAGTAGCCAAGCAGGTGGAGCACGAGAGGTGTCGTGGATTGGCGTCGGGGAAGCGAGCGAGCGTACGAGGGTCGCAGCATGCACGCGCGGAATTCTCGCGTTTAAGCAACGACTTTGAAATGTCGCTGAAGCCGACGTGGTGACGACGAGGCGAGAAACGGTTAGCTGCCTGCGAGAAGTTGTTGTGGCCTGGCTGCGTGATCGACGCAGAGAGTCTGGGGGCGGCCGGCGGCGACGACGACGACGACGATGGCGACCGGGAAAATTGAGAGAAGTCAGCGAAAACGCCGGGGAGAGAGAGAGAGAGAGATGGGAACCAAACGTACAGAGGTGCGTACACCTGTGACCTGAGGCGGGTTGGGTCGAGGTGCTGACGCGTGTGCTGCGAGGTGCGACTGACTGATGAGGGATGACCGACCCATGGAGCCAACTCTGACACGGTTGGTTTGGTTTTCATCGTCGGATATGTACCGTCCTGATTTTCACCAGTATTTCGTACAACTTCAGGACCATTTGCTTGCCGACGACCGGCCGGTCGGCCTTTACCGTGACAGCTCGATATATGTCGAGTCAATTTAAACGACGGCCGCAGTAAGGTGTGAATTGTGATGTGTGGCTGTGCCTGAATTCCAAGGTTTATTTGAGCGATTTTACGGCTTTTGAAATTTCTAATTTAAAATTTGCTATATCTCGGTACGAATATTTACACAAAAAATTTTAGTATTTCTTAGTATCTCCTAAGTACTATAAAAATATCTATCTCTGTTTCTAAGGTTTTAATTTCTGTATAAGAGCTTGGAGCGAGTTCAGATTAACACATCAATGAACCGAGATCACTGAATATATATCATGCGTGTTAATTGTGCATTCTAGCCCAAAAGTCCATATAGCTGAATGCCACGCGGGTCGAAAAAGACGCATACTACATCTGCCGCCTAACATCCCTGAACGAAATTCCATTGCTTTTTTGTTAATGGTATGCATCGATCAGCGACAGCATGATCAAATGTGATCTTCAGGGGATCATCGGCACCGGGTGCGTGGCAATCTACCCTGTGTACGTACTGTCGCCGTCGAAGCTCCGTGCTGGATCAAAGGATCGACAATCTATATAGGATCAAGAAAATGAATCTATACCAGAACAAATTAACGAGTAATCCTAGGCGGATTACGAAGTGATCCAATTATTTGGATCACTGCACGGAGTCATAAGAAAGTGCTAGATGTATCAAAGAAAATCCCATCATTCAGTATCAGACTGGGCCTTCTTCCCGGAAAAGCTGATGCGTGATCGATCGCCAGGGCGATTTGGTAGCGATCAGTTCGCCCAATCGCCCCCCCTCCCCCCTCCCTCACTCCACCTGGTTTCCTTTTTTAACACCGCATTATTTTTTTATTTTAGTAAATTTATACACCTAAAGTTTATACACCTCAAGTTTACACATATAAAATTTAGAGACCAAAAGTTTATAAGACAAAAGTTTATATATTCGATTCAAATTTGAATTTGAATTCAAATATTTTTATATATAGTATTTCTATACATCTAAAGTTTATAGAACTAAAGTTTATAGGTCAAAAGTTTATATACCCGTTTCAAATTTAAATTTGAATTCAAATATTTTCTATATATAGTATTTCTATACATCTAAAGTTTATACAACTAAAGTTTATAGATCCAAAGTTTATAAGTCAAAAGTTTACATATCCGATTCAATTTTGAATTTGAATTCAATTTTTTTATATATAATATTTATTTACATAAATTTTTCTAACTTTTGTTTTTTTTTTCAAAAAAAATTGTGGTGTACTGTAGTAGGAAAGAGAAGGAGGAGGAAAGGGGAGAAGAGGAACGTATAGGGGGAGGGGAGCGATCACCTGCGCATTAGCAGTCCCCTTCTTCCGCCCTTCACACCAAAGTGCCTCTGATCTTGCTAGCTAGCACATCACCAATCTTAAAGCAGAGTTCTGTATACCCACACCCTTACACTCCATTGTTGTCGCCGCCGAACGAGAAGTGAAAAACAGAAAATTATCAGCGTTGACAGCAACAAAAGCATCCCCTCTTTCAACACGCACACATTTATTTCACTAATTTTGCTTCCCAGTGCGTCTAACCGATGCTTTAGTTTATTGTAAGAGAAGTCTACGTTTGGTCCTTCAACTATTGACTTGAATCGATTTTGGTCCCTCAGCCACAACATCAGCAACTATTAGAGTAAGTTTAATAGTATAGCCCATTGCTAGCTCCAAATCATCTTAGCCAATGTAATACCCAATTCATACAATAATTGCTTACTATATTATTAATATCTAGTCCCACATGTCATACACACATTACGTCTTAAAATCCGTGCTGCAGCTGGCTACAGATATGTAGCCCGCTGCTCTTCTCTTTCTTCCTTTATCTCTTTAAAATATATTTATAGCTGGTTTATATTCTACTATTGTACCTGCTCTTAGTCATTCAACTGTTAAAGCTTTTAGTATTCCTAAACCACGGTGGTTTTTGATGGCGTGAAGCCTACATAAAGTTTATGTGTGGCCGAAGAATGATGACATCAACATAAAAATCAATGGTAAACAACAAAATTAAAAAAAAAACAAGAAAATACTATAAACTATGCGAAATTGCTATATAGCATTTGACAGAAATTTAGAGATAAAATTTTATATGTTTTGGACCATTGGATCTATGCCAAGATTCATGCATTGACTTCTTCTCCTCCAACTTTGACAGGCTCCCCTTCTTCTCCAGCGTCGGCGACACCACCAAATCTGGTAGGGAGCATATGGGTTAGGGTTTAGAGTTAGGGGAGGGGGAAGAGGGGGGGTTTTCTCGGGGCTTAAAGGAACGGTCGTGGACGGTGGAGGACCGGCGGTGGGTGGTGGATATGGGTGGGCGGCGAGGAGCCGGTGGTGACGCCAAAGCCGCGGGTTGGCAACAGGGGGAAGGCTGGCGTTGTCGGCGGGGGAAAACAGGCTGCAACCTTGGGGAAGAGAAGGGGGAGGGGGAGGAGGCCGACCGGCTAGGCGGCGAGGCCGGGTGGAGGCACGGTGACTGTGTGGGAGGCAGAGGAGTGCTCGCGCTTGGGCACATGTGAAAGCGGCAGCGGCGGCGGCGAGAGGACTAAGAAGTGGAGGAAGAAAAGTAGGGTTTAGTTTTGTTGCACGAATCTCAAAGTGATCCAATAGTTTAGAATTTCCGAGATTTTGGGAGGTTTTTTCTATCAGAAGACATTTAGATAGTCCCTAAACTATATGTCAACTTTGCTTTCTTTTCCTCTTTCTACCCCTAATCCTATATATTATTAATTTTCAATTGCTAGTCAGGAGGCCACACATGGCACCACATTACTGAAAGTTACTTCAATAGTAGTATCCCCGTTTAGGTAAGGATGAAATATGGAAGATCTAAAGAGCTGAAGAATCATCAATAGTAACTTTCGGCCTTGTTTGTAGTGGGCCTCAATCTTGGCCCATCCACACATATAGGCTAGGATTAATTTTCAACTAGATACATAATTATGCATTATAGAATATACTCCATCCGTTTCACAATGTAAGTCATTTTAACATTTTGCATATTCATATTGATGCTAATGAATCTAGACATATATATCTATCTAGATTTATTAGCATCAATATGAATGTGGGAAATGCTAAAATGACTTACATTGTGAAACGGAGGAAGTACATAGTTAATTTTATCAAACTAGTGTTTCAAGAAATTTCAAAAAAAAAGGGAGTGGTTCAAGAAGCATCTACAAAGTATCCCATATCCATTTATCCCTAGGTGTAATGGTGCCACTCTAGAGTTTATGGGCGGTGTCAAGGGACTAACTACCTCCTCTGGGTAAGATAGCAAGCCACACCTCAACAATGGCGAGAACATAGAATTTAATCAACTACTAAGAGCAGATCACATGTAAATTAACCAACATTATAAATGGTACAACCTTTAGCAATTAATATTTGATGCCCCCGCAACATCAGCGGCCACTACATAAGCGGCATCAAAAATTGATGACCAGAGGGAGCATTATATGGATCGATGAATGGTATGATAAATCAATGATGATTTGAAATTCATGTTAACTACAATAAATTCATATATTATGCTTTTTTAGGGAATTAGAATATGCACATGTTAACTTATCTTGCCGAACACCCTGAAAAAGAAAACTTAAATACTCAATGTTGTTTAACTATATTATATCCCTGATTAATTGAATTAGTAGGAACGTACATAACTCTATAGGATTTTGTTTAAAGTAATTAGTTTATTTTCCGTAAAAATCCTTTGAAGCTAGAATGGTTCTAAAATGCACTAAATTAGTTACGTGCATGAATCATTTCCCGTATAGTCTAGTAACACACATTTACGAACTACGTACATAAACTTAGGAAAAATTGAGTGGATATTACGTAATTAAATTAGCAGGGGTAGTAGATTTTTATTACAAAACAGTACCTTCATATATTCTTGCCTGGAATATATATATATATATATATATATATATGATCTGGCACGTACAGCAATCAAACTAGCAACAGCTATCAAATTAAATAGAGATTAGGGGGTTCACCTGCCATGGCTAATGACAGATCAATTAATGAGCTTCATGGGCAAAGGAAGCAGGATATAGGAGAGGAAGAGATATTGGCGCGGCTCAATCAGATACTGATTTTACCACTGCTGTAAAACCAATCATCGGATTGAACCTCACCAATATCGCTCTTTCCATTGATCAACCATGCAACTTCTGAAGGCCATGCAAGCTAGCTTGGACGATCCATCTCATGCATGGTTGCAAGAAATTAAGAAACTTTCCACCTTCCGGTAAGAAGAGATCTGCAATGTGAGAAGGGACAACAATTAATCAGATATATATTCAGATCATCAACTGATTAATTTGCAATGTAAGAAGAGATAACAATTAATCAGATATATAT